ATATATATATATATATATATATATATATATAGATGATTCAACATAATTCCATTATATTTTAAACGGAAAAAAGATAACTCTTCAAAGATCTCTTCTTGTTGAATGCTATATTACCTCTTTTATATCCTCGAAAGTGCAAACTTTTGAATACGTACCAAAAGCTTACATTATCTACTTAATAATTGATAATAATTCATACAAGTAGGGCAACAGCATATGAAAGAAATTGGTAGTCAAAATCAAAACATTTGAAACTAATTAATGGCCTTGACTTCCACCAGAACAACCCAAATTCAAAACTAAACCTACTAGAAATGGTCATTCACTCTCGTGCCCATTTTTCCTGTCTGTTCCTTCCCATTCTGCTAAATATGGCTCTACATACTATACCAACGTGCAACTTTTAATGTTTCGACTTTTCTTTTTCCCATATTTATTGCCTAATAAAGGGAACGTTAAAAGACCTACTCGACAATTGAAGAATCAAAGAGGTGTATCAGCAGCCGCTATAGTAATTAACATTTAATATGACATAAGCATCTTATAGTCCTCAAAGGGACACGACAAGCCAGATTTATTGACTCTTTTTTCTAAGGCTAAAGTTACAAAATTCACTAAAGAAGATTGCCCAGTTTTGCTTCTTTTTTTCAATCAACAACAACAACAAATTTAATGTAATTGATGTATGGGGAGAGTAATGTATACACAGTTAATGTATACACAGACCTTACTCTTATATATATATATNACTGAATATGCAAAATGATGGGAACAGGTACAAGAGTGACTCATTTCAATTTTAAAGAGCATGTATATACAGCAAATGTTAGGTCCAAGCTTATTGTTTAGAAGAACAAAAGTAAGCTTAATACCTTAAATTCACCCCTAGCCATTTTATTATACACAAGTCATTCTGAATCAATAACTCTAAATTCTAAATTCGTCTATGCTTCTGAATATGCAAAATGATGGGAGCGGGGGCAAGGGTGACCATTTTCAGTTTTGAAGAGCATGTATGTATAAGCAAATATTAAGTCTAAACTTATTGTTTTGAACAAGAAAAGTAAGCTCAAAACCTTAAATTCACCTCTAACTATTTCATTATACACAAGTTGAAAAATAAAAGTATTGTATAAAGAAAATTAAAGGCTACGCTTGCCAGGATGATCAGCAGCTTGGAGTGTTTTATCAATAAGTTTACGAGCTTTCTTGCTACGAATCTCAACTTTGACACTTGAGCTTTTGTCCATCTTGATATATGGCTTCTTTGATTTCTTCAACTTTCTTACCTTAGACTTTATCGACTCCACCAAATTCTCTAACTGAATCCCCATATATTGACAAAATTTTTGTGAAAAATGAAAATGAGGATTTCTTTTTTCTTCTTTAGAATCCAAGAATGAATATTTGTTGATGGGGTTGGATTAGCAGACTGAATATTGTAAGTCACAGTTAGTGAAACTGGGAAAATATGACTGCTTTCTATTTATGGCTTTTGTGCTGAAAAATCTCGAATTTATTGAAGTTTGTTGCTTGCGTGTGAGACTATGAATCCATATTGAATGGAGAACCCTCCTAAAGAATTGGTCTCCCTTTCTCCTAATATTACGAGCCATGCCATGAAGCTTTTGACTTTTTCTTCCCATCTTTAAGGGGTCGTTTGATAAGCGGACAAAATTATTTCGGGATTATAGTGAGTAATTTATCCCACCTGGGAGGTGGAATAAAATATTATTTTCAAGTTTAACGGGATAAGGCAAGATATCTAGGATTAAATCTGGGATTAAATTTATAGGAGTACTATGTTTGATTGACGGTATAAATTTATCCTGGGACAAATTTATACCGTCAATCAAATAAAATATAAATTTTATCTCACACCTTATCTCACCTTGTCCCGCGTATGAAAAGACCCCTTAAAATGGTGACAGCGAAAATGAGATGAAATCAATGAAAATTATGCTAGGGTTTACAGTGGTCGAGAGAGAAAATGAGCTTTCTTTCATCTATAAAAATTGGAAAATGTACAAGTGTTTGTATCAGACCTCTTGGGTCTACCTATATGGGACCCGACCCAACTATGCAAAACTGAAGAGAAAGAAGTAAAGATAATTACAAGAAATTTTTACCTCATATAACAAAGGTTAACACCCTATTTATTTTAAATAAATATCATTTAAATAAATTATATTCTATAGATACCTTTTAAGGTTTATAGTAAAATATTTAATTTTGGTTATCTCCTAGCCCTAAGCCACTAAATATGTTATTTAGTTACAATATTTCCTTTCTCTCTCTACTTTGATACATCTCATTCTCTTCTCACATCCCATTAAAATTTCCGATTCTCTTCCTCTTCTCTGTCTAGCCAACGATTCTTTCCCTTTCACAAAACAACCAAAATCCTTACGAAATATTCTAAGACCAAGAGGATTAAACGATAATCAAGAAAACAAGGCCATACAATTCAAGCGATTGAATATCCCTTTGCTTGACGTGAGATCAAGAAAACAATAAGCACAGATTTCTCAATGGTAATCGATGAAAAAACTGAAATTTTTTAAAAATATTTGGGCTCCCTTCGCCATCGTTCTTTCTTGGAATGCTTGACGTGAGATCAAGAAAACAATAGGCACGGATTTCTCAATGGTAATCGATGGCAAGGCCTCAATCAAAGTGGAATACGATATAGTAGACCGGATACTAGGTGGATTATTTCGTTGCTCGACGACGGATTCGCCGGAAATTAGGGTTTGTTCTTGAACAAAGACGACAGAGTTTGGGGCTAAGCAACTTGATTTTCTGTTAATATATTTCAATATATTTTCAATGTATCACGATGTATTTTCATGTATTTCATTGTATTCATTGTCTTTTTTTCATTGTAATTCAATGTATCTTGTTGTATTTCATTGTATTCACTGTCTTTTTTTCATTGCATTTCAGTGTATCCCGCTGTATTATATGTATTTCATTATATTCACTGTCTCACAATATGCCATGAATGTATTCATATATTTTTTTTAATTAATATAATTTATGTATTCAGATGTATTATATAATTTCTCTGAAGATTGCTATGTTTTTGTGGTATTTTTTGGTTGCGAATCTTCTTTATAACTGAAAATACAAAACTTTTGTGTTATAATTGAGTTTGTTGAGTTATATTAGGAGTCTATTATGTTAATTGATTCACTTTCTGTTTTAAAAACAGTGTAATCCCCTATTTCACGCCGTGAATACAGTTGAATACAATAATCTGTCCAGCTGTAATCCCATGTTTCACTCCATGAATACAGTCGAATACACTCGAATACAACAACTGATTAGCTGGACTTCCCAGATTCACGCATATTTTTGCTACTGTATTCATGAATACAATAGCTTAAATACATCAAATACATCTTATAACCACACAAAAGGTATCTATAATCTGTAATAAAGTAAACGGTATCTATAGATGGCTAATTACTTCCAAAAGATAGTGCTTTATGAAAATTTCTCTAATTACAACTTATGTAGGCCTGGCCCAAAACAAATAAAACTAGTATAGCCAATCTAGCTAATCTGGACTAGGATCAATATTCCCAACATAAAAAGGGCCAAAAAATAACCGAGAAAAATATGGGTACCATGGGTAAAAAGAAAAAGAAAAAAGAAAAACAAAAACATACCGGATGCTAATCTATAAATACCAAACCAATAAGTAGGAGTTATGTATAGTATAAACTTTTATCATTTAAGTGAGGTTAAATAATATGTATTCTTACTTGATTGATTTGTGGTGCGAGAAAGTAATTTTTGTTTAAGGAAAAGAAAACTGACATGAATTGACGTTATAGTTCAATAGCTGCGATTTAGAAGGTAAAATAGGTCATGGCCATTCAAAATTTAAAACATCTAGTTGGGTGATCTTTTGAGTGTCGAAAATAGTTAAATGACTTTTCTGTTACAAGAAAAAAAATATGAGTTTACAAGGTAATTTCGAATAGTTTAGTGCTTTAATTGCAATGCTCTAATTCTGCTAAGCCCCCTCCTTTTTTTTCATATATATATTTATATATATATTTTTAAGAGATGTACAGTATTTACAAATGAATCAGATCAGTAGGGTTATCCTTGCAACTTGCAAGGTTAAAAAGGGCAGCCCGGTGCACTAAGCTCTCACTATGCGCGGGGTCCGGAGAAGGGCCGGACCATAAAGGTCTATTGTACGCAGTCTTACCCTGTATTTCTACAAGAAACTGTTTCATATTAAGTTTATAATATGAAAGTTAAGATGTCTGACCAAATTTTTTTTTAAAAAAAAAAAATGCTTTCAAGTAGAAATTGAAGTANTTATTTTTTTATTTTTTGCACCACCCACCAATCCCAACACCTCCACCCTCACCCGCAAAATATTTTTCAACTTACACATTTTAAATACTAATTTGTAATTTAAGAAAATATACTTTGATTCTCAAAATATTAATAGTATTTATTTACCTTTTATACATAAGTGAAAGGCTTTGTTTATGCAAGATGAACATGGGTCAAGTTGGGCGGGTTGGGCTCTGACCCATTGTATAGCCCATCTTGACTCAGCCCATCTTAGCCCAAGTACACTTTCGATTGGGTTGGGCAATAACTTATTTATTGACCTAACACATCTTGACCCGCCCAAATTTAGCTCACTCCCCCCGTTTGCCACCCCTAGTTCCATCCAAATCCTCCAACCTACTCTAAATATCAGTTTGTTTTACTCTTTTAGTAAATACTAACTGAAAATTCGTGAGCCGAGGGTCGTCTATCGGAAATAGCTTCTCTACTTCCTCCTCATACCCCACTTGGGGATTTCACTGGGTTGTTGTTGACTGAATCAAAACAAAAGAAAAACATTTGTTCTGTGCTGAAGATGCAAAATCAGCCAACCGGAAGTTGTAGAGAAACTTAAAGCTTCTGAATTGTTGGAAGAGAGTCTAGTACAAATAAAAATCCTGATATATCATCTGAAATTATACTACATGGCGCAAAATTCAAAGGTTAATTCCAGGGCTTTTTTCTTAACCAAAATGTGTCGTTCCAGAAATGCTGGCAGTTCAGGAGTGGTCTGTGATTTTTCTGAATTACATTTCCACAGAAGATACAGATGTAATTTACCTGTATGTGTATCAATATCATTCAGTATCTCCCGGCATATCCTATGAAATTACCACTGGAGGTTGCAAAATACAAACTCTGATATTATGCTTCTTCCTGAACACATTCATGTCCTTTTAGAGGTACAAAAGTTTGTCTTTCTTATAATAACAATTCCAAACACATATTTCCTACAGATCTGACTTAATTTCATGACATATCAGGCAATATCCAAAGAACTGAGGAGGCAAAATTGCAAGATTTGGAAAAGGTTTTCCAGTCTTAGAAGTGCAGAAATTTGACCATCACAAAATTTATAGTCACAAAGAACAATGGAAAAAGGACTAAAGACTCGTGAAACGGTTAAAATCTTAGTTCTCAGACAAAGATCGACTCATACAAGTAGTGGAAATAGAATATTATGAGCAGAGGTCCAAGAGCAGTAATCTTCTCAAGGAAAATGGTCATCACTTAAGTTGCTGCTGCACATGAGCTCCTATTTTCTCCACTAAGCGTGCTACGAAGGGTTATAAACATAAAGATAAAACACACACACACACACACAAAATGTTGAAACTAGCATGCTGCTACGTTTTGCTCTTAATTTGCAATGTCCATTGAGTCGGCGAATTGGGAATTTTTCCTGTTAAACTTGCTAATGTAAAATGACTGGTTTATGTAGGCTCTCACCGAGAAAAAGTTACCTATCAGATCTTCTACCAAGCAAATTCATTTCCTTGATATTTTCTTTTTACTGTCTTTAGGATTTGAATATCCCCTCAGTCCTTGTAGTTGCTGTGTCCTTTTACTTCTAGCTACTATTCACGCCAATTTCGAATCACGTTCCTACATTACAATCCTGAGACGAGGATCTATTGGAAACATCTCTATCTCCACAAGATAGGGGTTGTTATTGTTCCTGCATTACAAAAGTGGAGTACCATATTCTTGAAGAGATTGGCTTCCATTCTTTAGTTGTTTGCACCATTAATTTCTCAAAACTACTGATGACAATTGACAAAGATTGTACATTAGTTTTTCCTACACAGAAGACTCTAAACTTTTGGAATCAATATAAAAACAGATCAAAAGTTTTAAGCAGAGAATATATATAAGCCACCACTATCAACAAGCTATATATGTCATTAAGTCGAAATACTACTTTACCAAAACCTAACCACCCCAAAAATCCATAAGATGGGCAGCTTTCTTAAGCAAAAACACAAACACCTGGTATGCAAAACTACTCATCACAATCTCCACCACCATCACTCTCAAATCCCCCTCCAATTTCACAAATCTTATCCCAAAAACCCTTCTCCACCGGTACAACCGACAATCTAGGTTGTCTAAAAAGCCCAAAACCCTTCAATCCTTCATTTTTCTTCATCTCCGCCAGGTCTACAGCCCTCCTCATCTCACCAACCGCCTTTACATCCACCGCACCACCACCACCATCATCATCTGTGTACCATTCACGCGCCACTGAGACAACACCCACAACGCGCCGGGCTTTGGACCCGGAGTGGTAGAAGAAACAAAGGTCTCCTACGTTCATAGACTTCATATACTTCTGAGCTTGCTTGTTTTTCACTCCGTCCCACTTTGATATACCGCCGTTTGCTTCTTGGTCGTCCCATGACCATTCTCCTGGCTCTGTTTTCAGTAACCAGTACTGTGTTTTTCCCCCCATTTTTAACCTGACCTTTGAGCTTCTGCCATTTTGTATTCCTTTTTATATTACTATTTGTTTGGCGGGAGTTCAATAGATTTGGCGCGAAATATTTTTTCTTTTCATTTTAAATGATGTAGTACTTGGTAATGTCATGGTAAATGATAAATCTACAGAAATTAACAGGGCTTACTTTCAATTATGGTAGTACTTTCAATTAAACCGATATAAAAATAATCGAAACTATTGGAAAATTACAGAAAATCTAGGGTGTGTTTGGTACGACGGAAAATGTTTTCTTGGAAAACAAATAGTAATCTTATTTATTTTTCGGTATTTGGTACGCAAATCAAGGAAAATATTTTCTCAAGAGTATTTATAAATAATTTTGATACAATAAACATGAAGCCATAAACTTTCGAACCAAAAACTTTTCGAACCCACAAATTTCATAAACTTCTGAACCGCAAAACTTTCGAAACCGCGAAATTTCGAACCCCTAAACTTTATAATTTCTAAACCCGTAAACTTCGAAACACATAAACCTCCGAACTCATAACTTTAGAACTTGTAAATTTTTGAACCTGTAAACCGAAAGATGAAAAAAGTAAAACTGAAAATATATTAAAATAATATTTTTTTTCCAAGGGAGGGGGAAGGGGGTGGGGTGCAGAAAAAAAACAGAATTTTAAAATTAAAAAAAAGTAAAAAATAAATTTTTTTTCTTGGGGTGAGGGTGGATTGGTGAGGATAAGTAATAGGAGTGGAGAAGGTTGAGAAAGAGTTTTGGAAAATGTTTTCTCTCCTCTTGATAGGGAAAATATTTTCCTCCAATTGGAGGAAAATGAGTTGATGAGGAAAATATTTTCTAAAACATTTAAGCCAACCAAATATGAGAAAATTGAAAAATATTTTCCGAAAAATATTTTCCTTCATACCAAACACACCCCTAATTTTAATTACAAGTAAACAGAAAAACCAAAATATAGTACTAGATATTATCATTTTTTAATCAAACCATTGACATCCATAGCTGCAATTAAAGTAATGTATCTTTCAATTGAAAACATGTCGCATGTGATTACCTTTCTTTCTGACTTTTTCATTGAGCAACTGCGGCTATAAAAAAGTAAACGTGAGCCTACCAAATGATCTTTGAAGTAGATTATGAAAACCAACCAAAGATAGAGTAAGAATTTAAAGTTTATGAATTTATGAATCTAATCTGTTTAAATTATTAGATTCTAAATTAATAAATTGTACATACCCGATAAATTTTAAGACAAAAATATAATTGGGATAAAAATTATTGAGTTCGGCCGAATCCATATGTTGTGTTCTAGCTCTAGGCGATTTAAAGGTCGGAGGTACACTTTTGGATTCAACCAAAATTTTCTCTGTATAGAGGGTTTCCACTATTAATATATCACTATTTTCTAAAAACGGATACATGTATACATGTAATTTTTGCTGAATTTTACGGTTGTCGGTGACCCCTCTCGGTATAGCATAGGTCCGCCTTTGGCTCCGCTCCTAATAAGATAAGGCAAGGATCAAGGGAGATCTCGTTGTTGCATAGCTCAGGTCGGAGCAAGGTGCCATCGGACGTTCAACAGGTAGTCTCACGATCGGGCACTCATGCCCCGACATTGTCATTGTATACTCCCGCGGGTCGGAAGGCGGCGGGGGAAGGAGGGGGACACTGGGCGAGATCTATCAGCAGCGAATTCCCCATACAAATAGAGGCACCTATCAAAAAGATACTTCGAAGGCTTCGGGATCGNTGGGTCGGAAGGCGGCGGGGAAAGGAGGGGGACACTGGGCGAGATCTATCAGCAGTGAATTCCCCATACAAATAGAGGCACGTATCTCCCAATTTATATGGCAAATCTCGGATTTCGAATGTCAAAACTTCTTAATTTTACTCGTGACTTCAGACATATCATCTTTAATTTTTTGAAACAAAATTTATATATCTAGAAATTACTTTAAAAAAAGTAGTATAAGCACTGAGACAAAAGGAGTATAATAATAGGTGTTGTAAATCTTGCCATTCTGGAAGCCATTAAGATTTCAATTACTCTGCATATCAAGAGAAATGAACTTGGTCACGAATAAATCCTCGGTCAATTCTTTAGCTCAGGGGAGGATGTAGGTTTTCGTTTACAAGTTCAACTGATATAATTTTTGACACATAGTATAGATTTATTTGTAAAACTTACTAAAATCTCAACAGATATTAGCCTTCGATGCGAAAATTTTTAAAGCTGGACTCATTATCATGGATTCGCCTTTGCTCAAGCAAACACTACACAATGCATGTTAAATGATAAAGCAAGAGCTTTACATCACATTCCCAAACGATTAATAAGACACTAAAAGCTCATAAATAATTACCAGTTAGTAAATATCTCAATCACACAATGAATGAGATTCAAGAATCAGAATATTACATGATCCAATTGTATTAACTGATTAATAAACATAAGCTGAAATATATTAAACATTTTTGGCATCAGCAAACATTTCAACTAGGGAATACCAAGTACCAGAAACTCCAAAAAACACCCCTAAGGCTATTAATCCCAAATCAAAAAATGCTCCTTTTCGATCCATATCTTCTTTAAATACTTGATAATGGAATAATGCTGGCAAAATAAATCCTAGTGTACAACAAGTACTACTACCAACCAATGACATAAAATCAGCAAAATTAGGTACCAATAATGCCACTAATGTCACTCCCAAAACAAGTATCCATCTCATCCAAACACAATAATTTCCATCACAAAATCTCCTCTCAAATACCTCAAAGGCTGGATTTAACATCAATGGAAATGTGAAGAACAAATTAATACAAAGACCAACTTTTACCAATGTGCTCAATACACCTTTTCCCATATTAGATGTGACAATATCCTTTGTACTTGAACCAAATGCAAAATACCCCATTACTCCAAATGTTCCATATATTAAAGCAATCAAGAACATTGACAAAGCCAATATTTTACCATACTTAGATTTGTCTTTCATTTCTGCTTCCAATGGTATAGCCATTCCAACACCTTCAAATGAATATAGCGCGACGCCTAATCCATAAAAGAAAGTAGAAACTGTCCCGAAAGCATGTATATCAGACGGCCATTGATTCGTAAAAGTCATCACATCTTCAACCATAACGACACCCATTGCACCAATTTGTGCTACATCCGCAAATATACTCAAAGGGGCTAAAAGTGTCAATGAGGGAATTGAAGTTAAGCCCAATTGAAATGGAAAACAACCCCATATATACAAACTTTTAGTAGATGAAAACAAAGGAATTCCAATTCCAAAACCTTTTGATAAACTCAAAAGATGAGATAAAGTATTGCCAATGAAAATAAGATAGCCAATGCAGAATCCAACTTGAGCTAAAACAATCATAACATCAACAGCAAATCTACCTATTGGACCACAAACAACAAAACCAAGATCTCCAAAAGATGAAATCTTGGAATCACCAATTAAAGAAAGATCAAGTCTTTTTCTTGTATGAATTAAAAGCATCATACCATGATAAGTTAAAGCAGCAACAGAAAATAGGGTAACAAGACCAGTAATCCAACCAGTTTTCATAAAAGTATAAGGTAAGCCAAGAACACCAGCACCAACAATAGCAATAAAGAAATTGGCAAATGTTTTAGGAAGACAAGATTTTGAATTTTCAAGAATTGGGGTTTCTTCTTTAGGTAAAAGATACTCTTTTGATGATTCACCAATGGCAGCTTTTCCATTGCAGCCAATGGCCATATTGGCAACGATTTGTATGAATGGTTGTGACCAGAAGAGAATGAAATGTGAAAATGATCAAAAGGGATTAATTTTAATGGAGAAAGGAAACCATTTATTTGATTCAGTTTTTATCATATCAGATCTCTATGCTATTTCCTGTTTGTGTTATGATACCTCACACCTGCAGTTATTAAAATCTTGAAATACTTTTGCGTAAAGAGGAGACTTTAGTGGCTATTATGAAGCAATGTGTCCCATTGTTTATTGGTAACTTCTCTCCTACTTCTCAGGAGAATCCTGTGGTAAAAATTGAATTTTATTAATCAAATTAACTATTCTATTTATTTATGGATAGATATGGTTGGAAAATGTTTATTACTTACTAATTCTAAATAGTTTTATGTCTTATTTTTTGTGTTTAGTCTGTGTAAAAAAGAATGCTTAATTTTATATTTAGTAAATTTTTAATTTCAGCAGTTACATATTGCGAAGTTCCCTTATAAGAATAACATAACATGTTTAAATTACAAATTCAAAGTGTATTTTTGTATGTTATACACACGATAATTATAATACTGCAATATTCAATAGTCTACTTTTATTCTTTACATTTTAAAATTTGTGCCTAATCAAGCTCCAATAACATCAACAACGGCTTGTCCCAAATGAGTTGGGATCAACTATAAGAATTTTTTCTTCTTTCTTTAGACTCAACTCATATCATCATTATAGCAAAATAAAATAAATGTGAAAGTGAAAAAAAGGTGTGTGTATATATATAACAAATATTTTCCTATAATAAGCTTAATTTGGTAATATAGAAGATAATATGAACCGATTTCCTTCCAAGACAATTTTTTACACTTAACATTTTTATCTCTATTTTGTGTAAATTATATGATTAGCATCCATCAAGATCTACAATTATGGTCACCTAATTAGTGGCTCAAGTTAATTACGACATCATAATTATAATCCAACTATAAGAATTTACTAGCTTGGCTTTATGTTCCAACTCATTACTGGAATAAATGATTTATAACTAATCATATGTATCTAATGTTAGGGGAACATTTTCTCTCTTTCTCACATTATAATCATTTATTTTTGAGAGGTTATTGACTCCTCTCGATTACCATCATTAATTGCCTCACTAGCTGTGAAAATAGCACGAGCTAGCCCGTTTTCGGACTGATAATTAAGAAGTAGTCGACATTTGCAAAGTTACTAAAAATAGCTACTATTTTGCTGAACACGGAAAGTTCCAGCATAATATGCTGGATTATGGAGCTCCTACGTATAAACTTTCAGTATA